ATACTAAGATTGTAAAATACAAAATAAAAACTACATGTAAGAATTAAAGCTCAGACAACATTATCTGCGACCTAAACTGACCACACCCATTCTAAATTTTTATATATTTTATATAATATATATAAATATAAACTAATAATTAATTTTTTTAATTTTAGATTGGGTTTCTTTTTATAATACTTCATAGATAAAAGCTTCTTTAAATTCATTATTTTCATTTATAGATACTGAAATATAGTTTAAAACACCTGATAATACAAATGTTGCAGAGGCTAGTTATGCTAATATAAATTATGATGGCAAAACTCTTTCTTTCAAAAATGCAATTCTTAAGTAATTAATTATTTTTTTTTAAATTTAAATTATAACTATAATTATATTAAATAATTTATTATAAATTTTAAATTATTAGAGCAAAGCTTTATGATGAATGATATTTTATTATATGTAATATTCAAAATAAATATGGAATTAGCAAATTGGGAAAAAATTATGGTGTATTGACACATGAAAAACAAGCAATTAAATGATCAGGTTTTATTTATTATTAATCTATATTATTACTATTTTTTGTTATATACATTTAAATTTAATTAAAAAATATATTTTATTTTATAGTTTACAAATCTCAAAAAACAAACTGTAATATTAATAAACCAACAAAAACATCCAAGAAATTAAAAGTTGAAACTGATTTAACAAATAATCTTGAAATTCAAGAGAAGCAGTTGATTTTAAAAGAACAAGAATTAGAGTTAGAAGAACATAAAATTTGTTTAGAGCATGAAAAACTTGAGCTAAATAAATTAAAAAAAGAATTAGGAACTGATTAAATAACTATTTAAATTAATATTTAAATAATATTAATTTAAATTAGAATTTGCTTAGATTATTCATAAAAAAATGTATTTTCTATCATAAAGTAATAATGCTTTATTATCATTATTGTTACTCTTATTATAAATATTTACTGAATCACAGTACTTTCACTAACCCTAATGGCTTTTAACTTGATTATGTTCATATTTGACCTTTTAATTAATAAATTACATCAAATTAATTATATTATCAACATTGATTTTTTATTAATTGAGTAATGGCGATTAATTTCTGATTCCGATTTAATTATTGTATCATATGAACAAGCTATCTTAACAGTCGATATAAAATAATTACTCAGTAAAAAAATATACGCATGTTACTCAACTAATTGATATTATGTTACTGAGTAGTATATTTACTAGATGTCACTCAGTAAATAAATTTTGATATGCTATTTAAGTGAATCAACATACTCTACTGCATAGGGTATTACCTAAATATGTAAGAACTTAATTGTTAATTTTAAATATGTTGTTAATAATTATGTGAATAATTTTTATGCTTACAATCTAAGTTAAGGATTATAAACAAATGACGATTATTATATGGAGAGATTTTATATTATGGTATGTATAAGCTTCATTGCTGGTTTTGGATAATTCTATAAACGATACTTATACTACAAACTATTAATGTGAATGAAAGTTGTTAATAATTATTGAAAATTATTAATAATAAAGTATGAATACTTTGAATTAATATAGGCTTATGATAAATTTTATGATGAGCCTCGGAAGGTTGGCCTTTTTTTATAATTCTAAATGATCCAAAAAAATTAAAATGTGTATTAAAAAATTAGAAGTTTATTAAAAATAGCATAATAGAAATTAATAAAATGATAGAATAATTTTAAAAGTAGAATTATATATGCATTACATAAAATGAGACGGAATATTATAAAACTTAAATTCTCTATTCAAAACTTCCAATTAGTTAAATTTTTTTCTGCCACAATGAAATCGCAAGATGCAGGCTGTGACCTGCCTGCTATTAGCAACGCCTTTTGGGCCGAAGTCAGCCTGTATTGCAATTCTATAAAATATCATAGTACTTACAAGCTAAAGTTACGATAATAAGTATTATTAAGCATTAGCATTGTAAATATTATATAAGCAATTTTAAACTTACCGGCTAAATAAAATACATTAAGATATATATTGTGTAAATATGTATAACAAATAGTCTTTATTGTGATTTAAGTACTTTAAGTATATAAAATGATAATAATAAAAATATGTAAAATTTCTGATTGTAAAATATGTTGTAAATAACTATATAGATGATTTTTATACTCATTAACATGACTAAAAGATATAAAAATGGTAGTTAAGTTGAACATAATAATTACATTTATAACCCGGTTTAATGCAATTTTTTTCCTTTTAAAATCATATCGATATGCATTATATATCGTATCTACATATGAATAATATTTACACCAAATTATTACATCAGCTACTGAATGCAATGCAAGTTGATAACTATATAAATAATCTTTACACTTATCACTAAATCAATGTACATAAACATTTAGTTTTTATTTATATTATGTAGTGAATTTTGTATAAAGGATCTTACTCTCTAAATAAAGAAAATAAAATATTTTCGAGTTATTACTTAGCTTTTATTCTATAAATATCTTTATAATCACTCACTAAATTAGTAAAAATAAAACGTACAAATATATTGCCTGATTTTAAATCTATTTTAAATAATTATATTGTATAAAGATAACCCTTATACTTACTGACTAAATTAACATGCATAAAATCTATTAAGTATAATGGTAAATCTAATCGCTGATTTAATGTTAGAAAACTTTAAATTTGAGATTATAACTAATTTTCACATCACCCGATATTATAAAATTTTTATTGCAAGTAAATAAATTTAATGTTAGGGATTAGGTTAGCTTTAGGCTAGATTAAAAGAGGTTAATTATATGTAAAATTTGACGCTGAAAAGGTTTGCTTAGAAGTTGAAGCATGGTTTTTATAATAAAATCTTGAGTTATTTGAAATTTTGGTTTTTTTTTTCTTCGCTTTGTTTTGGTTACACGAGATCCAGAGATCTAATTGGTTTTTATACAACCAGACTGATCCTGCATCGTCTAGGGTGAAAATTAGCAATACGTAGTCTAAATATAATTACTATTATTAATACATTGTAATAGTTATACTTCATACTTACTAAATTAATATAAAATATATTAAAATAATAGTAAATACGTAATTTAATTGCTAATTTTAGATCTTACAAATAATTATTATACCACTGTTACTAATGAGTATCATGCTGTTATATTATGATGTATACATTATCCATATTTATATTATGCCGCCTTATATGTATTAAAGGGTTAAATAAGGTGGTTGCATAGTTAAAATATTGAGTTATGTCCGATTGATTTGGTTTTTTAACCTTGAAATACGATTTTCCAGCGAAATTTTTTAGATACTTAAACAATGGCCTGAATGGCCTGGAAATGAATAGGCATTTTCTGCTCTGGTTCGTATGCACAAATTTAGATACGCAACATGATCGATAAAAAATTTTCAAATTACATTTTTGATAAAAACGTCATTTTGCATGAACACTAAGGAATGTTCTGGATCAATTATATCATAGAAGTAATTCTCAAGCCGATTCCAATAATCACAGAAAGAAATGTGTTTATGCAATGAAAGATATTAATTTAAACAATGAAAATAAAGCAATTTATTTATTAGATAAGAATAAACATGTTCCAATGATTATTAAATAATGGTTTCATTTTTAATTTTTATACATGTAAATACGCAATATCACCAAGAATGTTATTCTCATAATTGAATCCCTGAAATAAAGCTCGAGGGTAATTCATTTTTGGTTTCGTGCTAATTAAGATTAAATGTAGCATAACATTATTCTAAGAATTCGAAAAAGTTTTATGATCTGCTAAAATATAACTCGATATGGGGAATGATTAAAGGTGGGTGTGTTAGAGTTATTTTTTTGATGAGTCAGGATTACTTTTTTGATGCAATTAGGGTTAATAGTTTATATATATATCAATAAAGTAATTTATTCCAAACGCACTTGGCTTTAAATGACCCTAGATTTGTAACTTAATTGACAATTCACGATAGAAAGGGAATAAAAACCGGGGAAGATTTTTATAATAAAATATATTAAAATATATTAATACAGGAATCACGATTCCTATAGTTC